TACTAAAAATACAAAAATTAGCTGGGTGTGGTGGTACACATCTGTAGTCCCAGCTACTAGAGAGGCCAAGGCATGAGAATTACTTGAACCTGGGAGGTGGAGGTTGCAGTGAGCCAAGATTGCCCCACTGTACTCCAGCCTGGGTGACAGACCAAGACTCTGTCTCAAATTTAAAAAAGCAAAAAGAGCCCATGTGACCTGTGGTGGCTTATTGCTTCTGTGCGGCTACCTTTCCCTGTGCCAAGCTCAGTGCACCAGAGGAGCACACATAGCCAATTTCCCTGCACTGGCTGCCAGGAAGCTGGTCTTGCTCTGTGAGTAACGCATTGCTGCACGCACAGCTTCACTGCGTTGTTGTGCACAACTCTGATACCAAGGTACATGGGCTGGAAGCATTTGGACTTCTATTCCTGTCGGTTGGCACAGTGATGATCTTTGCAGTCCTCCATGTGGTGGGAGGCATCCCCTGGGTGATGGGAACCAGTGTTTAGCGTTCTGCTCCCCTGGGATTGATAATCGGGTGCCCCATATATTGCTTAACAATAATCAAGTGAGATAACATTTAAACATTTCTACATAGATATACACAAATAATATATTAAAATTCTATATACAGTCTAGTGCTGCTAAAAATGTTAATATTGTCCTTATTTCCTTCCAAAAATCACATGAGCTTCTGCCAACAACTGGAGAGGAAAGACAATCATCAGAGATATTTAGCATCGAAGGAACAAATAGGACAAAATTATCAATTCTGTACCACATCAACAAAAAGCTAATGTCTATATTTGCTCATTTGGTAATATGACTACATGTTAAATGGTGGCATGTGTATGTGAGTGTGTGCCTGTGTGTGTTTTGAGTAGTGTGAAAAATAAGGCAGCGTTTTTTCTGTCACTGGCTGGAATGTGAAAAAGTTTATAGGCGTACCCAGTAACATTGGAAACGGGCCATCTCCGGAAGTCAATATATTCCTTCTACTTCCTTATATTTTACAAGAAACACGTACTTACCTCATATGTTTTTTCTTATGCTTTCTCTTGGACATTTCTTTATTATATTTCTTCCTCTTTTTATGGAACCATTGACTTATCTGCAAAAAATGAGGTGTGGGAGCTGATTAATACAGGAATAAGGATATTGGTCTACATGGGTAATAGTACTACACAAGTGACTTTGTCTGTCAATGAAGAAATGTCTGTTAATGCTGTCATACCTGCTTATGTGTCATGTCAAATTCAAATGAGAGTGATAGACTCTCTTGTATTGTGGGGCACTTGTTTAACTTAAACTTTGCCCAGAGAGTGTCCATGAGGGATTTGCTGACTAATCTTGTCTTGGGATACTGTTTCTGTTTCTCATTTTCCCTTTCGCTTTTTACTTCCTGTTCATCTTCCATTTCCTTTTCGATTTCCTCGTCTTTTTCTTGCTCTCTCTTTCCGCCAGCTTCTCCTCCTTCCTCTCTTGATTTCTGCTTTCCCTTTTGTTCATCTTCACTGTAATTTCCATTTGATTGTTCAGGATTTTGATCCCAAGGCATAGCTGGTTGTTTCTGTATAAGATCTGTGGAATAAAATCAAGCTGCAGCTAAATTTGGATTTCAGTTCATATTCAACCATCTCCCATGTGAAAATATGTTTGATTTTCTTAAGTTAGCAATGTTGTACATTGGTGAAAAATACGGAGCAAAGAAAAAGTGAACTTGATGCCTGCCCTGTGGCTCACGCCTGTAATCCCAGCACTTTGGGAGGCCAAGGTGGGTTGATCACGAGGTCAGGAGATGGAGACCATCCTGGCTAACACGGTGAAACCCCAACTCTCCAAAAATACAAAAATTAGCTGGGCGTGGTGGCACACACCTGTAGTCCCAGCTACTTGTGAGGCTGAGGCAGGAGAATTGCTTGAACCCAGAAGGCGGAGGTTGCAGTGAGCCGAGATCATACCACTGCACTCCAGCCTGGCAACAGGGTGGGATACCACCTTAAAAAAAAAAAAAAACAAAGGGCCGGGCGCGGTGGCTCACGCCTGTAATCCCAGCACTTTGGGAGGCTGAGGCGGGTGGATCACGAGGTCAAGAGATCGAGACCATCCTGGTC